TAGAGAGCAGGGCAGCAAGGAGGACGTATTGGGCAGGCTGTTCCACTGAGGCCCACTTGTGCATCCCAGTTGGAAAAACTGTCCTAGAGGTCAGGGGCAGAGATGGGAACTGCTCTCGCTGGACTTAAATCCCAATTGAATCTCGGATGCTGTTTGTTGCAGGCAAGGGCAGGAAGTGTCCAGCAGAAGTATCAGTACTTTCTTTTCAAAAAGTGGCTCTGGGAGTTTAGCTTCCCATCCATGTGAATGGGCTCATTTCTACCATGGGCCTTGTGCTGCTGCTTCACTGAGCCTGGCTTTGGCAAGTGGCCGGTGGGAAAAACTTCATTTGCTTTGGCAGCAGCATCAACCTTGGCTGGTTAAACCGGCCTCTGTAAGAAGGCAGCCTGTCTCTCTATGAGCAGGGGAACAGATCAGCTATGCAATGTTGCCTTCACCCTTTAGTTCCCAAGGCTGTCCTGTAAGGTCAATAACCCGTTCCTAATAGGCTCTTGCCCAACCCTGCGTCAAACACTTAGCAGGCAGAATATTCAGCTAGATGGATGGAACATCTTGGAGAAACTTGCAGACTTGATGTCTGGCTTTGAGTGGAGCTGGTGTGCTTGTTTAATCAAGAACTTTGTCTCCTCCTCCATTGAGTCATGCTAGATTTTGTGGCTGGAATGTGAAGTGCTGCTTCCTTGGAACACTTTGAATGCCCCGGTCCCTTATGTGGGGAATGTGCATCCACAAAAAGGTGACGAGCTATGGGCCAAGATAGCAGTAACAGCTTCCCTGAAGCTACAACCAACTAAGGCAAGGCAGAGAGCAGGGCCTTTCTGCACCATTGCCAGATAGTTCCAAATATTCCAGGTTAGTTGCCTTGTAGTAGTTAAGAAGGGGAGGACGTGACAGGTAAGACAGACACACAGTAAGTCCCTGTTGCTTGTTGGGCAAAATGAGCCACTCCCAGTTCTTAGCAACTACCGTGAACCATATATGAGACTGTCCTGCCTACCTGTTACGACCCAGAACCCAGAACGCATGGATCCCCCGTTGTGGTGGTCCTGGCCGGTGTTCTTCCATGCTGCGTCCCTCACGATTGTGGGTCACTCTTGTGGCCCAGCTGGGCTTCCTGTAGCTTCCTGCCCCCGTGTTGCCGCAGCAACAACAAAGGAACAGAACTCGGGAGTGGGGAGGAGTTCTAGAATGTGGGATGCACAGGAAGGCAAACGCAGAAGGTATTTGGCTTCCTGGGGAGGGGGGGGGTGGCCTAATTGTGGAGCTTGGACCCAGAACTCTTGCAAACAGGAGGATCGTGCGACTGAATGTGGAACTGGTGGGGATGAGAGCTTGGAGCTGTGGGAAGGAGAGTCCGTGAAACAGATGGGGCTTGAGTTAGGAGTCAAGCCAAGGCCCCATGTCTGTTTAATATGGCGAATAGGCTGTGAGTCTCCACACAGCTAGTATCTTGCCCCAACAGTCTGCCTGGAATAAACTGAAGGGCTGCACTTTTGCTTATATTGTATAATTCTGCTTCCAAGGCGGTTCACTGGGGCAGTTGTAGGAACTGGTGAGTTGGATGCAAGCCAAGGGGGTGATTAAAATGCCCCTATGGAAGGACACCTTTTAATGAGGGTGAAAGAGGAGAGCGCAAAATATGGTCTGAAGCTCAACATCAAAAAAACGAAGATCATGGCCACTGGTCCCATCACCTCCTGGCAAATAGAAGGGGAAGAAATGGAGGCAGTGAGAGATTTTACTTTCTTGGGCTCCATGATCACTGCAGATGGTGACAGCAGTCACGAAATTAAAAGACGCCTGCTCCTTGGGAGAAAGGCGATGGCAAATCTAGACAACATCTTTAAAAGTAGAGACATCACCTTACCAACAAAGGTCCGTATAGTTAAAGCCATGGTTTTCCCAGTAGTGATGTATGGAAGTGAGAGCTGGACCATAAAGAAGGCTGATCGCCGAAGAATTGATGCTTTTGAATTATGGTGCTGGAGGAGACTCTTGAGAGTCCCATGGACTGCAAGAAGATCAAACGCATCCATTCTTAAGGAAATCAGACCTGAGTGCTCACTGGAAGGACAGATCGTGAAGTTGAGGCTCCAATACTTTGGCCACCTCATGAGAAGAGAAGACTCCCTGGCAAAGACCCTGATGTTGGGAAAGATGGAGGGCACTAGGAGAAGGGGACGACAGAGGATGAGATGGTTGGATAGTGTTCTCGAAGCTACAAACATGAGCCTGACCAAACTGCGGGAGGCAGTGGAAGACAGGAGTGCCTGGCGTGCTCTGGTCCATGGGGTCACGAAGAGTCGGACACGACTAAACGACTAAACAACAACAACAACATGGAAGGAAGCGAATGCTGTGCAGGGAGTTTTACTTGAGGGTTTTTTTAAAAAAACTTTTTTGGATACTTGAGGTTTCAGCTGATGTTGCACATCTGTCCCTGAGCTTTTCTTTGCATTCACCAGACCTAGAAACCAGAGGAACTTTTGTTCCCTGCAGAGGAAGGCCAAGGCATTTAGGCTGCTGATTCTGCAGTCCTGTACCTGCACCTGCAACTACTTAGCCTGCCCTATTTCTCTTCTGCAGGGTCCAGACCACTGCACTTTAAATAAAGATAACCAGCTGCAGCAGCAGCACATCTCTCCTGCTGATAGCTGTGGCGGATTCTGCAACCTGGGTGCTCCACTGGGCAAGAACGATGAATAGTGGGTTTCTGTTCTTTTTCACGTAAGCAGTGATTGTGTTTTTAGGACAAAAGGAAGAGCCTGGTTGCGGATGCAGGGTCCAGTGGACCCTACTCTTCTATAGAGAACCCCAGATCCTTGCTCCAGTCTTTTCCCTTCTTGCTGATTTAAGTACATTCAGAGACTACCCAGTGGGATCAGAGAAGTATTGATCTGTTAGTCTAGTGGGATCTCCAGCTCCTTTGCTAGCCCAGCTTCCTGAGCCTCTTCTCCTTGGAACAAAACAAGGTCAAGAACTGAACTACCTTACAACTGTTTTATTTATATCTGACCCGAAGAGTCCTTACTGAGCCCGACTCCTTAACATTGCAACGCAGGCAGGGTCAGGCACCATTTACAAGGCCAGCTTTTGTAAGTTAAACCCCAAGAGGGGGCTGGTAGCGGAGGAACAGAGAGATCTTCCTCCACCAAACCTGCTTTACTTTTGTGCTGAGCATTTTGCCTGTTTACGTACCTGAAAGTAATTCTCTTGCTTCCTATGGCTACAGTTGCTGCAGAATTAAGCAAGTCTTTAAATAAACAGCAACTGTAAAAGCCCTTGCTGCTTAGCGGCCTGGGGATGGGGTGACCTGTGGCCCCCTTCACCTGTTGACAGCATACAGTATTTTTTGCTCTACAAGACTCACTTTTTCCCTCCTAAAAAGTAAGGGGAAATGTGTGTGCATCTTATGGAGCGAATGCAGGCTGCGCAGCTATCGCAGAAGCCAGAACAGCAGGAGGGATTGCTGCTTTCACTGCGCAGCGATCCCTGTTGCTGTTCTGGCTTCTGAGATTCAGAATATTTTTTTTCTTGTTTTCCTCCTCCAAAAACTAGGTGCGTCTTGTGGTCTGGTGCGTCTTATAGAGCGAAAAATACGGTATTTCTCGCCGCTGCTGCTGGGCTGCCTAGGTCTGCTGGAAGTTGGCAGTCCAAAAACACCTGGAGACATAGGTTTCCCATTGCTGATTAATGGAATTTTTGAAGTTGGCTGTGTGCAGCAGGCTAGCAGGTTGGGGATGCCAGAACCTAGTCTAGTTTTCTATCTGGAGGCATTCTTGACATAGTCCTTAATGGTACAGCCCCCCTTCCAAACATGGTCTTCCTGAGAAGCGGGAACGGTGTTCTCAGTGATCTTTGACCTGAACCTTTTTGCCGGGTTTGTCTGAGGTCCTGCAATGTACCCAAATTCACCCACCCTTGGAAGCTTCATTTCTGTCTAGATTCTTGGTTGGGACTTGGGTACAACTATTCGCCTGGATAACACATGCTCACCCCAAAACACAAACGCAAACTGGCAGGACAGGATCTCCTCTTCCTGTCTTGAAGGCCTTGGCTACATAAAGTCTGGTTCTTGTGTGGCTGGCTGAGGGATTTCATATAGATCAGCTGATGCTTTTTTTTTTAAATAAAGAAAAAGTGTGTATTGAAAAGTCAGAGCAACTGTGCTAGATGCGTGCTAGATTTTGCAGTCTGCAACATGATCATTTTATATAGCCAGAGATGGGGCACCTGTGGAACTCCAGATGTTGTATTCAGATTCCTGTTAGTTGCTTAGTCATGGGTAGAAGTTGTATTCTCAACAACAGCTGGAGGGGGGCTGGTTCCCTATCCCTACAGTGTCAGGCTCTAAACCCCCACCCCCCACCCAGTGGTGTAGCGTGGGCTGCCAGTGCCCGGGGACATGTGGAAGGGAACCTAGGGAGGAAAATGGGCGGAGTACGCATGCACGTTCAACTGCCTTATGGCGTCCGTGTCACCCAGGAGATCGCAGCTGCAGCGATAAGAGTTGTTCTGTTGCCTGGAGAGATTACTTCCTGGTTCGCATGGAGAAGCTGTTTTCCAGGAGCCCAGCAAGAGAACCATGCAGCTTTATTGAGGCAACACTGGGTGTTGAAATTTTGCCCCCCTAACAATTCTGTGCTCTGGACAACTGCCCCTGTGCCCCCCTGTGCTACGCCGCTGCCCATCCCACACCAAGCTTAAGATGCCACAGTTGTCTGCAGTGCCGTTCAGTCACCAGGTTTGCCGGTATAATGGATTTATATGGAAATGACTAGGGCAGTGTTTCTTGGGTTGTTTTTGGACTACAGTTCCCATCATCCCTGGCCACTGGTTCTGCTTGCTAGGGATGATGGGAGTTGTAGTCCATCAACAGCTGGAGACCGAAGTTTGGGAAACACTTGAGAATGTTTCTGAGAGAGACAAGCCCCAAACGATTTGGAACCCACAAACCCAGCTTCAGCCCTCCACTGCTTCAATCTCATTGGTCTTAAAGATGGTGTTTTTATCCAGTTTTATTGATGTCACGGTTTTGTTTTGTTTTAGCAGCAGCTTCAAGTTCCAAACCTATTGCAGAGAGAGAACACCTTCCGGCCCCCTCCCCTCCCCCACTCGTGCCGGGCGGGTTGGTACCCAAGCAATTGGGGGGGAGGTATATGGCTTCTCCAAAAAAAAGGGGGACAGAGGTTTAGGAAGCAGGGCTGTTTTTCCTGTTTTGTTCCCCTCCCCACTTTCATTTCACACACTTTTTTATATTATTAAAATAAATAAATAACCCAAAAAAACAACCCAACCATAAACAGGACAGAATCTCAATAAACGAGAGGACGGACAAAGACAAAATGACGAATGGACGTGCGTTTTGGGTGGGTGGGGGCATAGAAGGAGGAGGGCAAGGGCGGGGGAAACAGAACACCTTTTGACATTCCAAAGAAGAAGAAATTGGGGGGGGGGGAGAGAGAAGCAGGGAGAAAGAGCGACACGAGCAGGACTTTTATAAGACAAAACTAGGACACCTGGGTTCTCTGAACAGGCACTCCCCCAGCTTAAATCTGGGAACCAGCCCGCCTACCCAAACCGGGCGGGAGGCAACCATGCAAGCTACAGAAGAACTAAATTAACAAAGTTCGGGGAAGGAGGGGGGAAGAGAGACACTGTTACCCCCATACACTTACACACACACACGCACACGAACAGTCCAGAATCAGTTGACTACGCTGGGAGTTCAGGGAGGCCCCAATCCAGTTTAAAGGAGGAGCAAAACATGGACTCCAAACTTTGTCCATCGTGGAGCCTTTTGTGGTGACTACAGGCCACCTTCTAATCCGCGCTGAGAAATGCCGCGGCCATTTTCAGCGTGGGCGGGCACAGTCGGACACAACTGGCAGTGCCCCCCTCAACCCTCTCTTTGCCACTTGCCCCTCTGGGCAGAGTAGCAAGGGCAGGAAAGCCCCAACATCTCCCCCTGCCCCACATGCAGACTGGAGCAAAGGGTCCCGCGTGCATTCTTGCGAAATGGGAGGACCTTTTCCCTCTCTGCCCCCCAACTAGACAGCAGAAGGAACCACTCCCTGTTCGCTTACCTCATCCAAGAGGCCTGTTGTGACGAGAGAAAGCAAAGAATAGAGAGGGAGCCCAGAATATTCCCTCCACCCCACCACACAAAAAAACATCCACATTCCCCAGCAGAGGGTAAACAGTCACTTTGTCCAAAATTCACAGCTAGGAAGAGAGCGAAATCCCATACTTGGGAGTGGGGAGGGAGAGGGGAGAAGGTTAAATCTGGAAACCTGTCAAAGAATGTCCCTCCTGCCCTTCCTGGAGTCTCTGTTGCTTTTGCTGTCAAAACTCCCAACAGAGCAGTCGCCTGGCCCACAGGTGTGAAGGGGGCACCTGTTGGATTCCTGCCTGCCATGCAACTTGCTGAAAAGGTACGGGACTTCCGCCGGAAAACGAAAAAGTGGCGCGCCCGAACTCTCCAGCCTGACCCTTCGTAGCAAAGACTCCCAAAACATGCGTGTCACCCACTGCCACCTCCCCTCCCTCCCCGATGTAAAAAGGACGAGGGGGGAAAGGGGGAATGTCTTTCCGCTCTAGACGCCCAGCACGCACAATTCCTGCCCCGCATGGAGAATGCTCCTTGGTGGCTGCCTTTATGGCTTTGGAAAAAAATAAATAAGATGCAACAGGCAGCAGTTTCCTGGGGGATCAAAGAAGGGCAGAATCTCACACCCCACCATATCAGGCGCCCCCCTCCCCCTTTGCTGACAGTTCCTGTGGGGTGGGGTCGGAGGAAACAACAGTCCAGAAAGCTCCGAGGCTGAGCGCACATCACTGGAACCCTAAAGAAAGGAAAAGAAAATTGATGTTGGTTTCTTTGCTGCTCCTTCTTCTCCCCCTTCTTCTCCACCCACTCGGCCCATTCCCAAAATGTCAGATTTTGTGTTAAGAATGTTTGAGATCACCATGTTTTGGCCCTGGAAGGCACAAGAGCCGCAAGGTACCAGCATACATTTTAGTCTAGGTTGGGCATAATGGGAGAGAGGCATTTCGGATAGGATGGAACTGGGAGTTGGCTGGTAGGGATGGGAGGCTGTGGCCCTCCAGGTGCCGTTGGACTACAACTCCCATCATCCACTGGCCATGCCAGCTGGGGATGATGGGCATTGGAGTACAACAACATGTAAGAGGGCCACTGCTCTGAACAGTGATATTACTTCTCTAATTATTGGAATTTGTATACTGTTTTAATTGTGGTTTCAGTGTGGTTTAGTTTAGTGTTATGTGTGTGTTAGAAACAGGTTGGTACAGTGGTACCTTGGTACTCAAATGCCTTGGCTCCCGAACAAATCGGTTCCCAAACACCGCAAACCTGGAAGTGAGTGTTCTGGTTTGCGAACGTTTTTCAGAAGCCAAAAGTCTGACACAGCTTCCGATTGAGTGCAGGAAGCTCCTGCGGCCAATTGGAAGCTGCGCCTTGGTTTTTGAACTGTTCCGGGAGTCAAGCGGACTCCTGGAACGGATTAAGTTCGCGAACCAAGGTACCACTGTATTACTGATGGCATCTGTCTGTCTCAAGAGACAGTGAAATGTGCCTCCGAGGGTGAAGTCAAACTGTTGGAGAATCACAGCACCAGCTGTGGCTGCAGAGACCGGTATGGCTGATGGTATGGCTGAGAAGTGTACAAGAACCAACATATTTGCACGTCCTCTGTCCATCTCTCAGCGCAGGTAATCCACCAGGGTTGTGCTGGAGTTGTTGGCATCTGTCTCTCAAGGGAAATGGGAGTGTGTCTCTGGGAGTCAAGTCAAACTGCTGAGTTAACAGCACCCAAAGTCAACCCCCCCCCCGCGGGGCACTAGCCTGGGCAGGGTGTATGGAAGTCCTGGGCTGCCCAGACGAGAAGTTCTCCCCTGGCTCTGGCCTCCCCAATGTGATTCAGAGGAAAGCAGAGCAAAACGTTTGGCAGCAGGAGTTGCCAGAAGGTGCCATCCCACCCTCTTAGGGACTCCACTCTGGATTTGTGTAGGATTTAGTCCTTAGTGGTTGGCATTGAAGGGGGGGTGGGGATCCTACAAATCCCATATGAACATAATCCACAATATAATAAAATGAAAAGACCATCCAACCAGATCCCTTGGCGTTTTAGGTAAAGGTAAAGGGACCCCTGACCATTAGGTCCAGTCGTAACCGACTCTGGGGTTGCGGCGCTCATCTCGCTTTACTGGCTGAGGGAGCCGGCGTACAGCTTCCAGGTCATGTGGCCAGCATGACTAAGCCACTTCTGGCGAACCAGAGCAGCGCACGGAAATGCCATTTACCTTCCCGCCAGAGTGGTACCTATTTATCTACTTGAACTTTGACGTGCTTTTGAACTGCTAGGTTGGCAGGAGCAGGGACCGAGCAACGGGAGCTCACCCCGTCGCGGGGATTCGAACCGCCAACCTTCTGACTGGCAAGTCCTAGGCTCTGTGGTTTAACCCACAGCGCCACCCGCGTCCTGATTGTGGCATTTGGTTACTTAAAACCAAATGCCTTCCTTACTGTAAATAAACTAGAGCTTTCTTAAGTTACCCAGGCATGTTCCCAGTTATGACAGACAAAAGGCGGGGATTGAAAGCATTAGTACAGCAACGTGATCTTGAAAAACCCACAGTGAGCAAGGGGACAGGATTCTTGGATGGGCCCTGCTACTTTAGGGCAGGGGTGTCAAATTTCCATTCCAAAATGAAAACCTCATTTATCAAATGGGCAGCTTGTGAGGTGACAAATGAAGACCTCTGTGTATGTTTTTTTTAATAAAAAATTAAAACCTAAGTGGGGCAAAGTGTTGCTGCAAGTGGAGCAATGCATCCAATAGCCCTCCCTTGGCCACAGGCCTGTTTTGACCTGCTCAAAGTGGGGAGGGAAGGGGCTTCAGAGGAGCTGTAAAAGAGCTGCCTTTGACTCCCTCAGGTGGTCAAAGGGGGGAACCGCAAGCAAGATGAGTGACCAAGGTACTGGTATTATCATCATCATCATCATCATCATCACAGTTGTACATTGGTTTTCAAACAGCTAAGTTCTCAAACATTTTGCCTAATGAATGCTGCAAACCCAGAAGTGACTGTTCCGGTTTGCAAACTATTTTTGGAAGCCGAATGTCCGAAGGGCTTACACGGCTTCCGATTGGCTGCAGGAGCTTCCTGCAGCCAATCAGAAGCTGCGCTTTGGTTTTGGAAATTGAGCAGACTTCTGGAATGGATTCTGTTTGACTTCCGAGGTAGAACTGTATTATTATCATCACCATCACTATCATCATTATTATTTATTGAATTTATATACAGTGGTACCTCAGGTTACATACGCTTCAGGTTACATACGCTTCAGGTTACAGACTCCGCTAACCCAGAAATAGTACCTTGGGTTAAGAACTTTGCTTCAGGATGAGAACAGAAATCGTGCTCCGGCGGCGTGGCAGCAGCGGGAGGCCCCATTAGCTAAAGTGGTGCTTCAGGTTAAGAACAGTTTCAGGTTAAGTATGGATCTTCGGAACGAATTAAGTACTTAACCCGAGGTACCACTGTACCACCCTATACCTGGAGGTCTCCGGGCGGTTCACAGAACAAAACCAAAATATAAAACCACAAAATATAGAATCAAAATAAAAACAGTTCAGTGGTTTAAAAAGTTCAGTGCAAGGTTTTTTTTTTTGCCCCTTAAAAAAAAAAGTAACCAGGGAAGCATCTCCAAATTGCACTAAAGTTATGCCTTGTGGGTACATTTCTCTCTCTCTCCCCCCCCCCCGCTGCCGTGCCCCCTGCTGCCATAGGTACTCACAGTCCCTGGTGGCAAAGGGCTGGTGGTGGTTGCCTTAGTCCGACTGAACGCTTTCTACTACGATGCTGGGTTTGTCCCGCGCTGGAGGATTCTTGTTGATGTAGCTGTTCAAAGTCTTCTCCTGAAGAAGGGGAGAGGAGGAAGTGTTCAAAGGAGCAAACGGGATGCTCTCAGCTCCCACCATGATCCAAAATCCCACTGACGGCATTTTGAAGCCACCAGCCTTGCCCTCTAACCACCGGATGCTACTCCTTTGCCTGCTTTTCCCAGAGAGGACCGGGGCGTCCTTGCTCCCCCGTTGTGACCCAGCAGATCACACCCCTGGCTTTTCAACGCCTAGCCCCCACTTCCTCTAAGCCAGGGTCTCCCAAACTTGGGTTTCCGGCTGTTTTTGTACTACAACTCCCATCATCCCTAGCTAGCAGGAGCAGTTGGTCAGGGATGATGGGAATTGTAGTCCCCGCTCTCGCTGCAATGCGAGACTCACCTCCACTAGCTGGTGCCAGTGCTCGATGGGTTTGCGAGGGTTCGCCAGCATCTCGGCCCAGTGGTCCCTCCCGGGTGCGTCTGCGTCACTGCCCACTCTGCACATCCCGATGACCTCGTTGTGCCCAATGCTGTGGAATAAGAGAATCGTAAGGATTGCAGAAGGGGCCACAAGGGTCATCTAGTCCAACCCCCCGCAATGTGGGGGATCTTTTGCCAAACGTGGGGCTCAAACCCACAACCCTGAGATTAAGAGTCTCACGCTCTACCAACTGAGAGAAGAGGATGAGCAACGAATAGGGTGGGGAAGGGGGCACGATGGGACTTCAGCATTGCTGCGCGTGTGTTATAAATCAGTTTAACTTACCGTATTTTTCGCTCTATAGGACGCACTTTTCCCCCTCCAAAAATGAAGGGGAAATGTGTGTGCGTCCTATGGAGTGAATGCAGGCTCCTTGGCTTCAGCGAAAGCAACGCGAAGCCTTTGGAGCGCAGTGCGAGGTCCCGCTGCGCTCCAAAGGCTTCTGGGTTAGCAGCGCAAAGCCTCCGCAGGGCAGTGGGGTGCCTTCACCCCGCTGCCCTGCGGAGGCTACAAAGGCTGTCCCCGAAGCCTCAAGCCTTTGGAGTGCAGCAGGAACTCGCGCTGCGCTCCAAAGGCTTTGGGTCAGCGAAAGGAACCCAAAGCCTTTGGAGCGCAGCGCGAGGTCCCGCTGCGCTCCAAAGGCTTCAGGGATCTTTGAGGCTGGTGGTGGGGGAAAGCAACGCTTCCCCCCACCGCCAGCCCCACAAGCTCGGGGGCCAGTGGCAAGGCTGCACGCAGCCTTTGCGCTGTTCCCCAACCTGCTCTTGAACGCACCTTGAACGCACCTTGTTTTAGAGGGGGAGAACAAGAAAAGAATTTTTTTTTCCTGTTCTCCCCCTCCTATGGTCCGGTGCGTCCTATAGAGTGAAAAATACGGTATTTACATTGGGCTGTAACCAAGGCTGGTCCTACTCAGAGTACACCAATCAAAATAACTGAATCTAAGTCAAGTCCATTAGCATCAATGGGCTTCCTCTGGGTAGAACTAGCATTGCAATCTTGGGACCGGGGATGGAGAAAGACTATTAAGGCCATTAAAAAAAAAAAAAAAGCTTGCTATGCCCCTTCCTCACTTAAAGAATTAATAGTTTAAGCAGGGGATGAGGAACTCCTCCAGACGTTTCTGGACTTCCCATCATCCCTGACCGCTGGCCAGTCTGGCTGGGGCGGATGAGAGCTGCAAGTTCCCCATCTCTGCAGTAAGAAATGGTTGTGGCTGCGGGCAGCAGGCTGGCGACACAAGGAAAGCTTGCTTTGTGCAAACGAGCCAGACTCTCGTCTCTGATTCAGCACTGCAAGGCTCCTATGCAGAAATAACATCGAAGCAGCTCTTAAAAAACAACAACACCTGCCACACTAACATTTTCCTTTCAAGGTCAAGGAGAAGAGGATGGAACCAAGGCATCCGGGCTCCCAGACTCCCATTCTGTGCTCTGCTTCCCATCCTTCGAGAGAAGCGAGAAATCCTGGCACTCAGCCCCCTCCCCTCATTTAAAAGCCCCCACTCGCCTTGCAGAGAACTCAGCTCTGGCTCCCATTTCTGCACAGTCAAAGCAGGAATTCCAGCATTCCTGTAGCTTGCACTGTCTTTCCTGTGAAGCGTGGGGGCCCTCCCTTGATGCATCTTGCCATTCACTAGACACCAGGTTCCTCCCATGAAAACCTGGTCTGGATTTTCCACACCCCTTTTGGAAGAAGCAGGAATCTCAGCTCTTCCTCTAGCTTGCGCTGCCTTTTCCTGAGAAGCCGGACGTCTTCCCTTGCCGCCTCTTGCACCTGCACATCATGCCATTCCCTGGCTTAGGAAAACTGGGTCTCTGCCTCCACGTGTTGTCCTGGTTCCTAGTGTCCCCTTTGCCAGACCCCACACATCCCTTTGGTCAGAGCTAAGAATCCCAGAGTTGCCTTATTTTGGCAGGTTGGCAAAGAAACACAGTGGGAATCACCGATGCCCAGAAGAGACTCATCTGCTGAATGGAGAGTGGAGGGACTTAGGGGCAGAGTGCGCACCTGTGTGCGTTGTGCCTCACCAGTCATAATCCATGACCGCCAGGGTGATGCTGACATGCTCCATGCTGTCTTGGGGGATGTCAAAGACGAGGGCCTCGTTGTAACTGGGGTTGAGCGTGTTCTTCTTGATGGACGTCTTGCGCTTCTTCAGCCGCCTCCCTTCGCACATGAGGGATGCCTTGACGTAAGGATCTGGAGAGAGGAGGCTGACGGAATTATGGGGGAAGCAGACCAGGCCGGGCCCATGATGCCTACATGCCACTGTTCTCCCCACCCCTGCTTTTGGATGCCGCCTTCTTGACAGCGGTTCCAGTCCCAAGATATGCTTGGCCGTTGCGGTTTCTGGGCAGTCCCAGGAAGTGCTCCCCAGTCCCATCAGAAATGACCTCTAGCGATTGGGGAACAGCGCCTGCTAATCGTTTTTGCTCCAATGCTTGGATGCCCGAGATGGGATGTGACACTTGGGTGAGGGTCAGTGGGCACAACCTCGTCCAACTCCATACAACTGTGATTTCCGGGAGAGAGAAGGGGGACTTCAGTACACCTGAAGGAGCGTCTCCACCCTCGTCGCTCAGCCCGGACACTGAGGTCCAGCTCCGAGGGCCTTCTGGCGGTTCCCTCCCCGCAAGAAGTGAGGTTACAGGGAACCAGGCAGAGGGCCTACTCGGTAGCGGCGCCCACCCTGTGGAACGACCTCCCATCCAATGTTAAGGAAATAAGCAACTATCTGACTTTTAGAAGACATCTGAAGGCAGCCCTGTTTAGGGAAGTTTTTAATGCTTGATGTTTTATTGTGTTTTAAATATTCTGTTGGGAGCCACCCAGAATGGTTGGGGAAACCCAACCAGATGGGCAGGGTATTATTATTATTAATGCTGAGGGCTGAAAAACTACTTGCCCCCAGAATATTTCAGGTCTACACCTCTCCCCAAGCACTGAGGCCCAACCTGCCAGAGCCAATTCCACATTTTATGACTCTCAAAGTCCATCCCTCCATGTCAACCACATGAAGGCTGCTTGCAGCAACTACCATAGAGATGCAATCGTGTTCTTGGTAGCTGCCTAGAGAGTCCCACCCAGCGTGTCCCAACCATTTGCTTCTCACCAACCATACAGCCACCTTTTGTGTCCCACCCTCTTCCTATTAATAGGCCCCGAATCCTGCCTTATCCCACTATAGGGCCACCCTTACAGTAGACACAGTTCCACCCACCATGGGTCACCCTGCTAAAACCTAGCCCAGGGGAGGGCAGCTATCAGGCTGATGGGACCTATTTTTTGCCAGGAGCTCCAAAGTCTACCAATCAGGTCCAGGTGCAAAACAGTGCCTCAGACGGGTGGACACACATAAAGAGAAATAAAAAACAGGGTGCCTCTGAGCACATGCTCAGTCCAGGAGGTTGTTTCCAGCCCCGGAAGGGATAGGCCTAGCTAGACCTGGCATTAAACATATTCTTGCATTTCATGTGAATGGTTTTTTGTAATGCAAATAGCAGCTGCTGGAGTGGTGGTGGTGAATAATTATCGTACTGTAGCAGGCACCATCAGGCGGATTACAATAGGCAGCTTTGGAGGGGAGATTTCCTTCAGCAGCACAACAAGGAAGGAAACGGTTAAACTTCCTGTCTCCTCCTGCTGCAATCTCTTAAGCATCAACACCCTGCCCCATAGCTGCTATTTGCCTTTTTTTAAATGTGACCATAAAATGCAAAGAAATGCATTATTTCATTTCATTTAACATCACATGCTGTTCGTCCCTGAGCTCACACATCCTTTCGCACACAAAAAATCACTCCTGGTCCCCCCACCCGCTGCCATTTTCTTAATTTCGGCAGTCTCATGGGGGGGGGGGTGAGCTGTGTTGTTTCTGCTGATGTTAAACTACCCTGGTCAACCTACTGCAAATAAGCCACAGATTCACTGGATCCCAATATGCTATAGGTGCCTCTCTATCCTAGCTGCCTAATATATTTCACCACCACAACTCCCTTCCAGCATTATTTTTTTCCCTCCTCATCTTACTTGCCCATATTTTTCTCCTGCCTCCAAGCCCTTTCCCTCTCTGGGGTACCTTACTGAGCCCCAATGTGGGGCTCCACTGCTTGATTCAATCCGAACGTATTTAAGCCTCCAACCACACACTGGATTGGCCAACATACCAGCCAACACATGGGACTGATCAACACATTTTGCCGCCTAAAGCAAAGAAAAAGATGGTGTGTGTTACTCACACTTCCCTAAATAGAAGCTGACTCCATGACACACAGGGAGACAGCGATGTCCCCCAACACCTCGCCCCTGCTGCCCCTGCCAGCACCTGCCGCCTGTGACACCCACCTCACTCGGCCTAATGATAGGGCCGGCCCTGCTACAGCCCTTCTTCCCCCACGGCTGCCCCGCCGGCTCACCAGAAAATCCAGTCAGATCCATGGCTTTGAGGTTGGTGGCCTTGATGATGGTGACCGTGAGGCGCCCAGCGGTGGGCAAGTAACAGAGAGAGAAATTCAGCTCCCCCAAATCCGCTTTTTCCTGTGAGATGGGAGAAGATGAAGAAGAAAACAACGTGGTCAGTAGAAGTATCTGGGGGAGAAGGAAATCCCAGCACAGAGGAGGCCGCCTCGCTGGAATCTGGCAGCATCAGTCAATATGGTGGCTGGAGAGGCATACTGTATCATGATATACAGTCGTACCTTGGCAGTCGAACGGAATCCGTTCCGGGAGTCTGTTCGACATTTGGAAACCAAGATGCAGCTTCCGATTGGCTGCAGGAAGCTCCTGCAGCCAATCAGAACCCGCGGAAGCTGCATTGGATGTTTGGGTTCCAAAGAACGTTCGCAAACCGGAGCACTCACTTCCGGGTTTGCGGCGTTCGGGAGCCAAAACATTCGACTCGCAAGGCATTTGACTTCCGAGGTACAGCTGTATAATATAAAATAATGGGTTTGTCGTACTCAGAGCAGACCCATTCAGTGATTTCTATAGGCTTACTCTGAGTAAAACCTAGTTGGCTACAACCCAATATTTTAATATTGCATTTTATCGTTGTGAGCAGCCCAGAGGAACCATGTTATTAAGCATCCAGTAAAAATGCTGAATAATGAAGAGTAAAGGCTTTCAGATGGAACCTCCAGTGGCATAACAGGTTAAGTGTATCTGGTTGTTAACCTGAAGGCTGGTGGTTCGAGCTTGCCCAGGGACAGCTGTGGGCAGGATTCCTGCATTGCAGGGGGCTGGACTAGATGACCCCTGGGGTCCCTTCCAACTCTACAATTCTGTGATTCTGTGACCTGGTCCAAAGTTGCGCTGTTCTGTATGTGTGTCACGTGCTCCTTAAAACCAGGCCCAGTCAATGGTCTGGCTGCAGCATTGCACAGTTGTGCACCATTCAACAATATAACAAAATGTCACATCAGAAACTAACGTAACCCCCCTCATATACCCAGTTAATTGTATCAATAATACATTGCCCATCTGATATAAGCCACATGGCAAAGCCCCAAATCAGAGCATGTTGTAGGCTTTGTTTCAAACTGCTCTAATCTGTGTTATACCCGATTTATTCAGAATATTAATAATTACTATAATGAATCTGTTATCACCAATGCATTCCCTCAAGTGGCCCCTTTTCCTCATGCTGTCAATGGGCATTTGTTTACTTGTACTTGGATTATCCAATCTCTCAAATACATACATATATACCATATTTTTCACCCTATAGGACGCACTTTTCCCCCTCCAAAAATGAAGGGGAAATGTGTGTGCGTCCTATGGAGCGAATGCAGGCTTTCGCTGAAGCCTGGAGAGCGAGAGGGGTCAGTGCGCACCGACCCCTCTCGCTCTCCAGGCTTTGCGCAGCTCTCCGTAAAGCGCTGGGCTCCCGTGGCTTGTGGAGAGTTGCCTGCATGCTGAAGCCTGGGCACGGTGAGCTCAGCGCGCCCAGACTTCGCGCAGCTCACTGCAAGGCGCGGGAGCCCGGCGCCAGGCTCCCACGGCTTGCGGAGAGTTGCCTGTTCTGGGGGCTGGGGTCGGGGGAAGCTCGGGCTTCCCCCGCCCCAGCCCTGCGCCTGGGGGGGGGGAAATAATTTTTTCCCCCTTTACTCCCCCCCCAAAAAAACTAGGTGAGCCTTATGGGATGGTGCGTCCTATAGGGCGGAAAAATACGGTAAATACATATATGCTACTTAGCATCTTCCCTACAATGCAAGAAGAACAAGTTTGGCACATTTATTCTCCTTCTGCAAAAAGGTAGCCAAGGAAAATCTGTGCAGCCACACAATCCTCAGGAGAGACATACACAAGGAACCCACCATATTTCATAATAATGTTGGAATCAACTGGATTTCGCCAAATTTCACATTACAAGTTGCAACCTTATGGATACAAACCTGATGGAATATTGCTGGCTTTCTTTAAACAGCCCTAACACGTGTGTATATGGGAGGGAATGTTGCTTCAAAATCTAACCAACGTTTGCATTAGGAAAAGCACCAGGGAAAACAAAATCTCAGAACAAAGAATTTCAGTGTTCCAAAGATGGGCTGGGGAGGAAATATAATAAATTTCATTTCCTCTGAAGCAGAAAAGGCGAGAGTATCAGCACACAGGCATACCTTACTTTTCCGTGTATAAGACTATGGTTTTTTACTGAAAAATTAGGTTTAAAATAGAGGGTTGTCTTATACATGGGTAGTACCTAGGGGTGACATGGGATTGGTTGAGGCCACGAACCGGAGATGGTCTGCAGCATGTTATTGGTGTCTGTGGCAAGGGGTGGTGTTGATTGGGTGTTAGCATCGTTGGCCAGGCAGGTGAGTGATTTTCTGGGTCACCCTCCCCAAAAAAGCTCAATAACTCTGGGCAATCTCTCTCCATTTTCCACCCCCAAAACAGCGGGCGTCTTATACACAGGGGCGTGTTATACGCGTAAAAGTACGGTATTTCCCAATATAGTTGGAATTCAAATACCAACATGGATCTTGGAATTCTGCTGGGCTGAACAGATATTGTGGACTCTGCTTATGTCAATTTCTATCCCAGGTTATTATCACCTGGGGAAAGCGTTTTAAAAGCAGCTGCGGTGCACAAATGAGAGAGAGGGAGGGAGGGAGGGAGGGAGAGAGAGAGAAATCAGAAGGCTGGGAGCAGATCATCTTTCATAAGTTGAAAGATCTGTGTACCAAGACCACAAAGAGCGCAGGTGAAATTGACAAGATGGTAGACAGCTAATGCCAATTTCACATCCCCGGGCAAGATGATTTGCTGCTGCTCTTTGCGACCTTCTTGTTCGGGGATGGGGGATGCTAACACACACACAAACACAGATTCTGTGCAGATACTCAGTGGGTGACCAAGACATGGAGTATCTGTGGGTATCACACATCAGGGTTGGAACAGAAATATATGTTTGTGCGTGTACATGCATGTGCGTGTATTAAACACACACACACACACACACACACACACACTGGCTCTATGAGTACGGAGGGCCTAGTGAGTCATTGCATAATTAGTGCTGAATTTTCAAGGATCAGCTGCTGTGTTTGATGGCGTGCATATATATACACATATGTTCAGAAACTCTGCAGATATTTGAGAGCTTGTCCCCAGGGTGGCTGTTCTTTCCCAAGAAGGAAGAGCGCAGCAACATGCTGAGAAGGAAAAGGCCTCCTCTGATCAGTGGCCCCGTAGGCCTACTTTTCACTGAGGTGGCAAATTGTATCATCGTCATCATCAATTTATGAGTTTCCTCCTACACCATCGTCTGGGTTCTATTACAACACACTAGACAAGGCAGCTTCCAGCAAACATCTCAGAGAGAAGACTAGGCAAGGACCCTTCTCCCCAAAATCCAGGGTTTTTTGGCGGGAGGGAGGGGAGGGACTATTTTCATACAGAGAAGAGGACACACTCATCCAAGTCCCCACCCCAGCAATGCTTCAGGGGAAATCTAGTCTTTAATATTCCTCACGAGCCAGAATCTTGTTGACAGTGCTCCTTGGAGCCTAACTTTCCTGCTGAGGCTGGTTATCTAAAACCCACTTATGCATCCAGTCTAAATATTGCATCCATATAGAAAATTATATGTCAGGGACAGTAAGATTCTGACCTGTCTCCTCGGCATCCAGCTTACTCTGAGCGTGACCTGCAAAAAACATGCTGCAGCGTGAATTGCTCCTGATCAGGATACTCCATTCCAACCCCATTTCCATATTGTTGTGGGGTTCCCCTCTTGGCATTTTCTCTGAAGATTTGTCGTGGTTTGTTTTGTATTTCTGAAACCACTGGGTTTTCTCCAGACTTGCCGATACCTCCCCTCTTGTATATTGGTGGTGCAATTTTGCCTACATAAAGATGTCAGGGGCCACATTAGGCTTCTGGTCCTGAGGTTCCCCATACTGGCGCTACATTGGACTGGTTCATCTCTCAGTCATGAGGTGCGCATGTGGAATTAAGTCCTCATGTACGATTTGCCATGGAACGTTTCCCTCGATGTCTGCCAGCATGTTTTGGCAAAGATGGTACATCTGTTTGGCAGTTAGAGCAGCGGTTCCCAACTGGTGGTCCGCCGGGGGGGGATGGGGACGGACGCCTGTGGCCCCATTCACATAACAAAAACTACCACAGAGATTTCAAAATTTTCAAAAGTAGGGGGCTCCATGGCTAGGGTTTTGAAAAACACGGGATCCACAATACAGTGGTACCTCAGGTTACAGATGCTTCAGGTTACAGACTCCGCTAACCCAGAAACAATACAGTGGTACCTCGGGTTAAGTACTTAATTTGTTCCGGAGGTCTGTTCTTAACCTGAAACTGTTCTTAACCTGAAGCACCACTTCAGCTAATGGGGCCTCCTGCTGCCACCGTACCACCGGAGCATGATTTCTGTTCTCATCCTGAAGTTCTTAACCTGAAGCGGAGTCTGTAACCTGAAGTGTATGTAAAATGAGGCATATGTAACCTGAGGTACCACTGTACCTCGGATTAATAACTTTACCTCAGGATGAGAACAGAAATCGCGCGGTGGCACGGCGGCAGCAGGAGGCCCCATTAGCTAAAGTGGTACCTCAGGTTAAGAACAGTTTCAGGCTAAGAACGGACCTCCAGAACGACTTACGGTAAGTTCTTAACCTGAGGTACCACTGTACTTAGCTAATTGGGAACCATGGGCCTAGAGCCATCCTCAGGAACCATGCCCATTGCAGGCCTGGAACTGGCAACCCCGGTTATGAAAGGCCAGGATTTCAACTGTGTGCCACCCTGGCTCTTGGCTGTGGAGGGCTGTTCTTCCGTTTGAGCATTTGGGTTGCTGGCATGAGGCATCTCCCTGAAGGAGACGGGGGAAATGTTGAAGAGACAGTGCTGGTGGACAGTTTTGCTAGCGGCCATTCTTCCTGCTACTGGTGTTTGGAGTCCTTCACGCTCTTGGAATTGAGCTTGCACACACAACCTCCCTAAAATAAAACCTCACCGCCCCAGCTTAGGGCATCGATGCACATCTCTCAGGCCTTGTCTAAATCAAGGCGGTGCTT